TTATTTTTGGGTGATAATAGTGATCACTGATAATTACAGACTAGACCCATTAAATAATTAAAGGTTGCAAAATCCTCATATTCAACTTCAATCATTCCTTTTTTTGTTTAGCTGCAACATATTCATAAGATAAACTTCCTCTTCCGTTATTTGGCTACTACAAATTAAACTTTGTATAGAAAGTGCTTATTTCCCTCTATATACCAGTCTCAAAACAATTTGTTTCCTAGAATCTTCCAGTGATGATTTGTGATAATTTTGTTAGTTGTTTGTTTTGTTGTTTCACTTGAGTATCATTTAAAAAAAACTCATAGATTTAACGATTTGTTTCAAATTACTGCAATTATTCTTACTGATGATCAGATTGTCCTATCTTTGGCCAGGGGGAACCTGTTTAAGTCAGTTTTTGAGTTCTTTTGACACAAACCTAGTAGTACTGGATAGTTTTATTGCTTTGTGGCATTATGAAATATTCCAGGCTCCTGTTGTATATTGTCTTTGTCATACCTGGGATCAAACATTTCTCCAAAAAGCCATTATTACAGGAGGTAGCTAGTCAGACATGAGCAGAGCAGGAGACACTCTGGCTCCACCCACCCCCATACAACAGGAATGTCAGGTGACCACCAGGTGCTGGTCAGGTGGTTTTTAACTCTCTCTCTAAAAATATAATTTCTCACAGCCAGCACCAGGAAAAGGCACTCTCTTAATAAACAGAAACACCTAAAACTGGGGATCAGAAGCTTCCCAATAAGATCTCAGGAGTTGGGTGAATGGGCTCAAGCATGAGCATGAAGAAGCAAAATCGTGGAGTTTAACTGGTATGTGACCTTCTAGGGACATTCAGTTGGTAAGGGAAGAACACCTCAAATAATTCCCTAATCCAGTAAATCCTTTTGCAAGCACTAGCAGACCATTGTGCTTGTGGACAGCCCACCCCAAGGGAAGAATCAGGGGAGAGAGATGCAAGACCCTGGAAGTATGCTAACATAAAAAACCACAAGTCAAAAGGTCAAATTACATACTTGTCTTTCAAGTGGCCCACTTATCTCTCTTCCAAGTGCATATTCCTTCCTTGTGTTCCTGCTCTAAAGCTTCTTAATAAACTTTCACTCCTACTCTAAAACTTGCCTCAGTCTCTCTTTCTGCCTTATGCCCCTCAGTCGAATTCTTTCTTCTGAGGAGGCAAGAATTGAGGTTGCTGCAGACCTGTGCTGATTCACTACTGCTAACACACTTGGGTGCCATGTCTTAGGTATGTTCTGCCGATAACACCATGCTCCTTTTTGAAGGAGGAGGATATAGAATATGGAGACCACAATCTGGGTTTTAGGGGTTGTGTTGTAATAAAAATACATTTTCTCTTGGTCCTCAGTTCCTGTTACAGAGTGATGAGAGTTTCTTTATTTATAAGGAGCCCTTTTAAACCATACTTGAGTTACACTAATGAAGTAACTCATGGTATGGATCCCTGGATAGCTTGGGGAAGGGGAGGCTGGTTAGCAGGAAACCAACCATGTGATTAGAGAGTTTAAACTTTCAGCCCCACCGCCCATCTCTTGACCTCTGGAGAAGAGAAAGGGACTAGAGATTGAGTTCAATCATATGACCAATGATTTAATGAATCATGCCTATAATATGAACCCAAGATAAAAACTCTAAAACAAGAAGGTTTGGAGAAGTGCTGGGTTGGTAAGTAATATTAATGTGCCAGGAGGATGGCATGCCTAAAGAAGGCAGAGCAGCTCTGTTCCCTGTTACCTTACCACCTTATATATCTCTTCATCTAGCTGTTCATGTTTATCCTTTAAAATAAACCAGCAATCTTAAGTATATTGACTTGTTCTAGTAAAGCTGTGAACCCAAGCAGGGGGTGGATGTAGGAATCCTGAATTTTTACAACTGGTTGGTCAGCAGTGTGGATGGCCCAATGACTTATGGCTGACATTTAAAGTAAAAGTAGTCTTGTGGTATTAAGCATTTTAAACTGTGGGGCCCATGCTAACTCTAGGTAGTCAGTGTCAGAACTGAATTGAATTGTAGGACACTCAGTGTGAGAAAGTTGGTTATTGGAATGACACAGAGGTGCTCTTCAATAAAAGGCTAGTAATTGGTTCCAGGCCTTTTCCATGGACATAATTAGAAAACATGCATTTTTAAGATAAATTACATCATGAATTTATAGTAATATATTCACAATCCAGAGTGTTTTAAAGTAAATCTCATATGTCTAAATTAATATTTCCTTTCTCCTATGCCAAAAGTCACCATTCTCAACAATATCAACATAATGACTCATTTGCTTTATCCCACAGAATATACACAAGAGTCTCAGAATAATGCCACAAAAGGTAACAATAATAAGCTAAGTGTTGAAAATATTTTCAGGGTTATTGTTATCATTTTTTGCAGATATTTTTGTCCTTTGATATTCCATTCAGGGGTGCACAATCAAATTTGTATTTTTTATAAAATTGTTTGAAGTAGTTCCTTTCTATGTTTTAAGCTACCAAATCAATATAAAGTTAGGTTCATTTGATTTTGCTTTCAATTTTTAGAAATTGCTTTTTGGAAACTTGCTAAATAATTATGTAATATATTTACGAGAATCCAAAATTAAATATTTATTCAAAATAGGAGGCTGGGCACGGTGACTCATGCCTGTAATCCCAGCACTTTGGGAGGCCAAGGTGAGCAGATCACTTGCAGTCAAGAGTTTGTGACCAGACTGCTCAACATGGTGAGACCCTGTCCCTACTAAAAATACAAAAATTAGTTGGGCATGGTGGCGGGTGTCTGTAATTCCAGCTACTTGGGAGGCTGAAGCAGGAGAATTGCTTGAACTCAGGAGGCAGAGGTTGCAGTGAGCCAAGATTGTGTCACTGCATTCCAGCCTGGGCAACAAGAACAAGACTCCATCTCAAAAAAAAAGAAAAAAAGTAGGCTAAATTTTTAAGTGCACTCTCTTTTCCAGTTTTATACACCTTGTTCCTTCCTACCCCTGAGAGTAACTATTTTTTTTAATATAATTTTTATTGTATATCTGATACTTCCATTTCTCTTTCTTTTTAAATCAACTTTGTTGAGGCATAATTTACATACCATAAACCATAATTTTAAGTGTTCAGTCTGTCAAGTTTTAACAAATATATATAGCCATGTAAACAATATTGGAATTATGATACAAAACATTTCTATTACCCCCCAAAAGTTCCCTTTCTTTGCTATCAGTCCCTCTAAAACATACATTTAAACAATCACTGATGTGCTTTCTAGTATTATGTTTGCTTGTTCTCGAATTTCATAAAAAGTATCATGTAGTCAGTATTATTTCATGTCTGTCTTCTTTCGCTCAGCATAATGTTTTGAAATTCATCCAGAACGTTGCATGTTATCAGTAAATCATTCATTTATATTGCTGAGTAATATTCCATTGTATGAATAGTATACTTTGTTGATCCCTTTGCGGGTGGATGGACATTAGGATTATTTCCAGTTTTTAACTATTATGAATAAAGCTGTGGGCATTCATGCACAAATATTTTTGAGAACATATACATTTCTTTCTCTTGGAAAGATATATTGGAGTGAGAGTACTGAGTTTTCGAGTAAGCTTATGTTCAACTTCTTAAAAACTACCATTCTAATTAGCATGAGATGGTATCTCAATGTGGTTTTGATTTGCATTTCTCTAATGACCAGTGATGATGAGCATTTTTTCATATGTTTGGGGTTGCTGGGTCAAATGGAATTTCTATTTCTAGATCCTTGAGGAATCGCCATACTGTCTTCCACAATGGTTGAACTAATTTACACTCCCACCAACAGTGTAAAAGTATTCCTATTTCTCCACAACCTCTCCAGCATCTGTTGTCTCCAGATTTGTGGCACATATACACCATGGAATACTACACAGCCATAAAAAACGATGAGTTCATGTCCTCTGTAGGGACATAGATGAACCTGGAAACCATCATTCTCAGCAAACTGACACAAGAACAGAAAATCAAACACTGCATGTTCTCACTCATAGGCGGGTGTTGAACAATGAGAACACATGGACACAGGAAGGGGAGCATCACACACTGGGGTCAGTTGGAGGGGCTAGGGGAGGAAAAGTGCAGGGGGAGGGGTGAGGGATAATGTGGGGAGAAATGCCAGGTATAGGTGATGGCAGGATGGAGGCAGCAAACCACCTTGCCATGCATGCACCTATGAAACAATCCTGCATGATCTGCACATGTACCCCAGTACCTAAAGTACAATTTAAAAAAAGAAAGAAAAGAAACTACCACACTAATCTCCACAGTGGTTAGAAGACCCTTTAGCAATTATATGAGTTTCAATTGCTTCACATCACTACCAATACTGGGTGTTGCTGAACTTTTTATTTTTAGCTATTCTAGTGGATGAACAGTGATATCTATTTATGTCTTAAACTGCATTTCCCTGAGAGAAATAGGAATGCTTTTATACTGTTGGCAAGAATGTAAATTAGTTTAACCATTGTGAAAGATGGTGTGGTGATTACTCAAAGATCTAGAACCAGAAATACCATTTGGCCCAGCAATTTAGTTACTGGGTATGTACCCAAGGGACTAGAAATAATTCTATTACAAAGATACATGCACGAGTATGTCCATTGTGACACTATTCACAATAGCAAAGTTGTAGAATCAACCCAAATGCCCATCAATGATATACTGGATAAAGAAGATCTACATATACACCATGGAATATTATGCAGCCACAAACAGGAATGAGAGCATGTCTTTTACAGAGACATGGATGAAGCTGAAAGCCATTATCCTCAGCAAACTAATGCAGGAACAGAAAATCAAACACCACATGTTCTCATTTATGATTGGTAGTTGAACAATGAGACACATGGATAGATGGGGGGAATAACACACACTGGGACCTGCCATTGGAGGTAAGGTGGAAAGCATCAGGAAGAATAGCTAATGGATACTGGGCTTAATATCTAGGTGATAGGTCGAGTTGTGCAGCAAACCACCATGGCATAGGTTTACCTATGTAGCAAAACTGCACATGTACCCTAGAATTTAAAATAAAAGCTGAGGGGAAAAAAAAAAGAATCAGATCACACTTATGGGTGATGTTCAGCCTGCCCTTATTTCTGGTCTAAGAACTATTGAAACTCTAATTGCCTAACCTCTTCCTGGCCTTATTCTCCATTTCTTGGTATCTTACTTTCAGGCCTTCTCTTTCCTTCTATACTCCTCATTTACCTTTGTATTTTCCTTTATCTGTTTTCTTCCCCTAAGTTAAGTCACTCATAGTAGAGACACTCTCAGATATTGCTTACGCCTACCAATTACACCAAAGAATTATAACAGAAGACAATATTTAAACATATTTAAGAGTTAACATTTCTGAATACATTTCAAAGCTGCAATATGGCAATATAGGTATCATTTAACTAATTCTCATAGATAAAATAAGTTCCTCTAAAAATATCAGCAATGCCAGAAATGTTTACCATCAACTGGTAAATGTTCTTGTAGATTCCAAGACTCCTTATTTGTGAGTTCCAATCCCAACTTCTCCTGAATATTGTTAGGCTTTTTAGTATTAATCTTGTCTCCTTAAGAAAGATGAGACAAATTAGAGAAAAAAATGTGTTTATCTATGTGTACACATATATATATAACATAACATCTGTGAGATAAAAGCACTCTGTGAATGTTGTGCTTTCAAGAAAGCTTGCATGATTCAATTTGTTTTAAAATACATATTAAATTTATTTTAAAATACATATAAAATAAATAGCAAAATTAGCCATAGAACCTGATATCATTAATCATTGTTCAAGAATTAAAATTATACCTCTGATGACTAGCCTAAACCAAATTTTTTAAATGTGAAGTTGGTAATTGTCCCACACTAAATTTCACCGGTAGATAACAAGTCAATTATTTGAGCCACTACTTACTATCTATACCAGAAATAGTATTTGTTCTCTTCTACTTCATCCAAGCCTTCTAGATTTCTACTTATTTATTTGGTTACTAAAGTAACTTCAATACTGCTGATTTACAACAGCAATATCTCTGTGTAGGTCAAAAATATGACCACTTTAAGAAAGCCAGAGTAAGGGGATTCTGCCAAGATAGCTGAATAGGAACAGCTCCAGAGCACAGTCCATAGCAAGAGAGATGCAGAAGGTGAGTGATCTCCGCATTTCCAACCAAGGTACGAGGTTCATTTCAATAGGAGTGGTTGGACAATTGGTATAGCCCAAGGAGGGAAAACCAAGGCAGGGTGGGGTACTGCCACACACAGGAAGTGCAACCAACTGGAGGATCAGGGACTTATCCCCTACCCCCTGAGCACTCTAGTTCAGATACTGTGCTTCTCCCATGGCTTCTGCAACCCACAGACCAGGAGATCCCTGCCGGGCTGAAAAGCGCCGCAAGCTAACAGCACAGATCTGAGCGGCAGCTCTGGCTGGCACCGTGGGTTGTTAGCAAGGATCTGGGCAGACATTTTGACTAGCACCAAGAGCATGTGTGGGATGGAGCTACCTGCTCTCCAGAAAGAGAGGGAGCTGAAAGTAGAGAGACAGGCGACATGGCTGGGTGGGTTACACCTCCACAAAGACCAGCAAACTGAAGCCCTCTCACTTGAGAGTTTTGCAGCCAGCACATCAGTTCGAGCTTGACCTGGGACAATCAAGCTCGGTGGGGGAAAGGGTGTTCACCATTGCTGAGGCAGTTCTAAAACTACCTGTGTAAATAAAAGCCAGAGGAAGTTTACACAACAGCCGGACTGAGTCCATGACAGCCCAGTAGTGCCTCTAAAGGCAGACAAAGGACAGACTGCCTCCTCAAGCGGCTCACTGACCCCTGTATAACCAAAAAGATGCCTCATACAGGACAGCCCTGGCTGACACCTGGTGGGTACCCATTTGGGATGAAGCTACCAGAGGAAAGATCAGGCAGCAATCCTTGCTGTTCTGCAAACCCCATGGGTTATTCCCAGGCAAGCAAGGTCTGGAGTGGACCTCCAGCAGTCCTACAGCAGAGGGACCTGTTAGGAGGAAAACTAAAAAACAAAAAGAAAGCTTCAACATCAACAGAAAGGATATCCACTCAGAGACTCCATCCAAAATCACTAACTTCAAAGATCAAAGGTAGATAAATCCATGAAGATGGGAAGAAACCAGCGCAAAAAGGATGAAACCATCAAAGATCAGAAGGCCTCTCCTCCACCAAGGGATCACAACTCCTAACCAGCAAGGGAACAAAACGGATGGAAAATGAGTTTGACGAATTGACAGAAACATGCTTCAGAAGGTGGGTAATAACAAGCTTCTCTGAGCTAAAGGAGCATGTTCTAACCCAATGCAAAGAAACTAAAAACCTTGAAAAAAGGTTAGACGAAATGCTAACTAGAATAATCAGCTTAGAGAAGAATATAAACGACTTAATGGAACTGAAAAATACAGCATGAGAACTTCGTGAAGCATACACAAGTTTCAATAGCCAAATCGATCAAGCAGAAGAAAAATATAAAATCACAAAAAGTAAATTACAAGATCCTCAAGGAAAAACATATTTGAAAGAGAATGCAGTAAGAGATATTGGAAAAATAGCAGAAGATCAACTAAATGAATAAAATGAGAAGGCAAGATTAGAGAAAAGAGAGTGAAAAGAAATGAACAAAGCCTCCAAGAAATATGGGATTATATGAAAAGACCTGACCTATGCTCAATTGGTGTACTTGAATGTGATGGGGAGAATGAATTCAAGCTGGAAAATGCTCTTCAGGATATTATCTGGGAGAACTTTCCCAACCTAGTAAGGCAGGCCAATTTTCAAATCCAGGAAATACAGAGAACACCACAAAGATATTCCTCAAGAAAAGCAACCCAAGGCACATAATTGTCAGATTCACAAGGGTTGAAGCTGATATGGTGTAGGAGAAATAAAATCCTTTATGGACAAGCAATTGCTGAGAGTTTTCATCACCACTAGACCTGCCTTACAAGAGCTTCTGAAGGAAACACTAAATATGGAAAGGAACAACCAATACCAGCCATTGCAAAAATGTACCAAATGGTAAAGACCAATGACACAATGAAGAAACTGCATCAACTAACAGGCAAAAAACCCAGCCAGTAACAAAATGGCAGGATCAAACTCACTTATAACAATATTAACATTACATGTAAATGGCCTAAATGCCCCAATCACAAAACACATACTGGCAAGCTGGATAAAAAGTCAAGACCCATCAGTGTGCTGTATTCAGGAGACCCAACCCACATACAAAGACACACATAGACTCAAAATAAAGGTATGGAAGAAGAATTACCAAGCAAATGGAGAGCAAACGAAAGCAGGGGTTGCAATCCTAGTCTCTGATAAGATGGACTTTAAACCAACAAAGATCAAAAGAGACAAAGAGGGGCATTACATAATGGTAAAACGATCAATGCAACAGGAAGAGCTATTTTAAATATATATGCATCCAATACAGGAGGACTCAGATACATAAAGCAAGTTATTAATGACCTACAAAAAGACTTAGACTTCCACACAATAATAGTGGGAGATTTTAACACTCCACTGTCAATATGACAGATCAATAAGACAGAAAATCAACAAGGACATCCAGGACTTGAACGCAGATCTGGACCAAGTGGACCTAATAGACATCTACAGAACTTTCCACCCTAAATCCACAGAATATACATTCTTCTCTGCAACAAATCACACTTACTCTAAACTTGACCACATAATTGGAAGTAAATCACTCCTCAGCAAATCACTCCGGAAATCATAACAAACAGTTTCTCAGACCACAGTGCAATCAAATTAGAACTCAGGATTAAGAAACTCACCCAAAACCACACAACTACATGGAAACTGAACAGTTTGCTCCTGAATCATGACTGGATAGACAATGAAATGAAGGTAAAAATAAAGATGCTCTTCAAACCATTGAAAACGAAGACAAAACGTACCAGAATCTCTGGGACACATTTAAAGCAGTGTCTACAGGGAAATTTATAGCAATGAATGCCCACGTGAGAAATGAGGAGAGATGAGGAAAGATCTAAAATCAACACCCTATCACCAAAATTGAAAGAGCTAGAAGAGCAAGATCAAAGAAATTCAAAAGCTAGCAGAAGACAAGAAATAACTAAGATCAGAGCAGAACTGAAGGAGATAGAGGCACAAAAAAACCCTTCAAAAATTCAATAAATCCAGGAGCTGGTTTTTTGAAAAGATCAACAAAATAGACAGACTGATAGCCAGACTAATAAAAAAGAAAAGACAGAATAATCAAATAGATGCATTAAAAAATGATAAAGGGAATATCACCACCAATTCCACAGAAATACAAACTACCATCAGAGATTACTAAAAACAACTCTATGCACATAAACCAGTAAACCTGAAAGAAATGGATAAATTCCTGGACACTTGGACCCTCCCAAGCCTAAACCAGGAAGAAGCTGAATCCCTGAATAGACCAATAACAAGGTCTGAAGTCAAGGCAGCAATTAATAGCCTACCAAACAAAAAAAGTCCAGGTCCAGATGGGTTTACAGCCGAATTCTACCAGGTGCATAAAGAGGAGCTAGTACCATTCCTTCTGAAACTATTCCAAACAATACAAAAAGAAGGAATCCTCCCTTACTCATTTCATGAGACCAACATCAGCCTGATACCAAAACCTGGCAAAGAGACAACTAAAAAAGAAAACTTCAGGCCAATATCAATGATGAACACTGATGCAAAAATCTTCAATAAAATACTGGCAAACCAAATGCAACAGTGCATCAAAAAGCTTATCCATCATGATCAGGTAGGCTTCATCCCAGGGATGCAAGGCTGTTTCTACATATGCAAATCTACAAATGTAATCCATCACATAAACAGAACGAAAGACAAAAACCACATGATCATATCAACAGATGCAGAGAAGGCCTTCAACAAAATTCAACAGTCCTTTATGCTAAAAACTCTCAATAAACTAGGTATCAATGGAATTTATATCAAAATAATAAAAGCTATTTACAACAAACCCACAGCTAATATCATACTGAATAGGCAAAAACTGGAAGCATTCCCTTTGAAAACTAGCACAAGGATGCTCTCTCTCACCACTCCTATTCAATATAGTATTAGTAGTTCTAGCCAGAACAATCAGGCAAGAAAAAGAAATAAAGTGTATTCAATTAGGAAAGGAGGAAGTCAAATTGTCTCTATTTGCAGATGATATGACTGTATATTTAGAAGACCCCATTATCTCAGCCCAAAATCTCCTGAAACTGATAAGCAGCTACAGCAAAGTCTCAGGATATAAAATCAATGTGCATAAATCACAAGCATTCCTATACACCAGTGACAAACAGAGAGCCAAATCATGAGTGAACTCTCATTCACAATAGCTGCAAAGAGAATAAAATACCTAGGAATACAACTAACAAAAGATGTGAAGGCCCTCTTCAAGGTGAACTACAAACCACTGCTCAAGGAAATAAGAAAGGACACAGATGGAAAAACATTCCATGCTCATGGTTAGGAAGAATCAATATTGTGAAAATGGCCATGCTGGCCAAAGTAATTTATAGATTCAACGCTATCCCCATCAAGCTACCTTTGACCTTCTTCACAGAACTGGAAAAAAAACACGTTAAACTTCATATGGAACCAAAAGAGAGCCCACATAGCCGAGACAATCCTAAGCAAAAAGAGCAAAGCTGGAGGCATCACGCTACCTAACTACAAACTATACTACAAGGCAACAGTAATCAAAACAACATGGAATTGGTACCAAAACAGAGACATAGAACAATGGAATAGAACAGAGGCCTCAGAAGTAAAGCCACACAACTACAACCATCTGATCTTTGACAAACCTGAGAAAACCAAGCAATGGGGAATGGATTCCCTGTTTAATAAATGGTGTTGGGAAAACTGGCTAGCCATGTGCAGAAAGCTGAAACTGGACCCCTTCCTTACGTTTTACACTAAAATTAACTCTAGATATATTAAAGATTTAATCATAAGACCTAACATCATAAAAACCCTAGAAGAAAGCCTAGGCAAAACCATTCAGGACATAGGCATAGGCAAGGACTTCATGATGGAAACACCACCAAAATAGACAAATGGGATCTAATTAATCTTAAGAGTTTCTGCACAGCAAAAGAAAACAATCCTCAGAGTGAACCGGCAACCAACAGAATGGGAAAAATTTTTGCAATCTACCCATCTAAAAAAGGGTTAATATCCAGAATCTACAAAGAACTACAGCAAAAGTACAAGAAAAAAGCAAACAAACCCTCAAAAGTGGTCGAAGGATATGAACAGGCACTTTTCAAAAGAAGATATTTAGAGGCCAACAAACATATGAAAAAATGCTCATTATCACTTTTCATTAGTTAAATGCAAATCAAAACCTCATTGAGATACCATCTCATGCCAGTCAGAATGGTGATCATTAAAAAATCTAGAGACAACAGATGCTGGAGAGGATGTGGGGAAATAGGAACACTTTTACACTGTTGGTGGGAGTGTAAATTAGTTCAACCATTGTGTAAGAAAGTGTGGCGATTCCTCAAGGATCTAGAAATAGAAATTCCATTTGACTCGGCAATCCCATTACTAGGCATATACCCAAAGGATTATAAATTGTTCTATTATAAAGACGCATGCATACATATGTTCATTACGGCATTGTTTAAAACAGCAAAATACCCATCAATGATAGACTGGACAAAGAAAATATGGCACATACATACCATGGAATACTATGCAACCATAAAAAAGCCATGAGTTCACATCCTTTGTAGGGACATGGACGAATCTGGAAACCATCATTCTCAGCAAGCTGACACAAGAACAGAAAACCAAACACCACATGTTCTCACTCATAGGTGGGTGTTGAACAACGACAACACATGGGCACAGGGAGGGGAATATCATGTACTGGGGTCTGTTGGGGAGTGGGGAGCTAGGGGAGGGACAGCGGTGGGTGGGGAAGTTGGGGATGGATAACATTGGGAGAAATGCCTGATGTAGGTGACGGTGGGGAGGGAGAAAGCAAACCACCATGTCATGCATGTACCTATGCAACAATACTGCAAGGTCTGCACATGTACCCCAGAACTTAAAGTATAATAAAAAAAAGTCAATAAATTAGAGAACTGAAAAATGGCAATGATGTATATATATCCAAGAGATGGGTCTTAAAAAATAAATATTACACGGGATAAATGCCAGCTAACTATACAAGAAAAAGGGAGAAGACACAAATATATAAAATTAAAAACGAGAAAGAAAATAACCACAATGGCAGATGAAATTAAATGAATCCTAGGAGCCTGGTTTCCAAAATCCTATGCAAACATATCCAAAATATTTAAAAGTGGATAGTTTTCTCAGAGAATAAAATTTATTGAAACAGATTCCAGAACAGGGAGAAAAATTTGAAAGACCAATTCACATAGAAGAAATAAAGTTGTCAAAGATCTAATTTTCTAAAATGGATTCTATCCAGGCAATTTCATAGGGGATAAATTTAATGCCATTTAAATTGCTCCAGAGGCTAAGTGAAGAAGGAAAGCTTCTAAATTTATTCTATGAAGTAGTACACAAAAAGCACAGAAGAAAATCTGCAGCACAATATTGGTGTAAAAATTGAAATAAATTATTAGTAAAGACAACCTAGTATTTAATTAAAGGAAGTCATTTCAAGAATGTGAGGGTGTTTCTACATTAGAAAATATATTGGTATAGTTCATCTTTGTAACAGATCTAAGGTGAATCTTATAAGCATCTCTAAAAGTTTTAGAAAAGCAATGCAAAAAATTAAAAGTAAGCCAGTCACAATAGACCATATATTGTCTGATTCTATCCATATGAAATATCCAGAACAGGNAAATAAATTATTAGTGGTTAAAGACATAAAGAAATAAATTATTAGCAAAGACAACTTAGTAGTTAATTTCAAGAATGTGAGGGTGTTTCTACATTAGAAAATATGTTGGTATACTTCATCTGTGTAATAGATCTAAGGTGAATCTTATAAGCATCTCTAAAAGTTTTAGAAAAGCAATGCAAAAAATTAAAAGTAAGCCAGTCACAATAGACCATATATTGTCTGATTCTATCCATATGAAATATCCAGAACAGGTAGATCTATTGAAACAAAAGTAGATTAATGGTTGCCTAGGGCAGGAGGTAGGATGAAAAGTGAGGAAAGTAATGGGTCTAGAGTTTCCTTTTGGGGTGATAAAAACATTCTAACTTAGACTGTGGTGATGGTTGCATGACTCTGAATATTCTAAAATTGTATACTTTAAATGGGTTGATTGCATGGTACATAAATTATATCTCAATAAAGCTGTATAATTAAGTAAAAAAAAAGCCAGAGTAAATTACATTATTTAGAAAAAATATATAAATAGATCATAGAAGTTGTTGAATGTTACAGTAGTACAGCAATTTTTTGTCCATGAAACAAAGTCAATATCAGTGGATACAAATTATCAATCAATAAAATATGATTAGCATTTTTTAGTCATGAAATAATATAAACACTAAAAATCAAAACCAAGAATTTCAATGCAAAATATAAAAGAGAATTAAAAGAAATGTACCAAAATATAGACATCAGTAAACTTTGTCTTTGGTTGTAAACTACGGGTGATTTTTTTGCCCTTTTTATGCTTCCTTGGTTTTCTACAAGTATTGGGTATTATGAACATGTATTTTTGTAAACAAGTACAAACACTTAATAGCTTTATTAAAGTACTATTGTGAAGGCTAAACATTTTAGTTTTATGTCTTATTACTCACCTTTAAGAGTCTTTATGGTATCCATCAGTTTAAGTTGACTTATCTTCCCATCAGCTGTGAGAAAAGATACGAGGTTTTAAACAAAAGCATTAATAATATGGGAAGTCACACAAAAGGCACTATAACACAAAATTATAAAAATTAGTATAAAGAGCAAGTCTTTTAAAACTTATTTGTTAATTGACAAAAATTATATATATTTATGGTGTGTAACATTAATATAAGCATACATTGTGGAATGGCTAAATCAAACTATTTAACTTATGCATTGCTTCACATACTTGTCATTTTTTGGAGTGTGAACACAAAGTCTACTCTTTTAGCAATTTTCAAGCTTATAATACATGGTTATTAACTATAGTCACCATGATTAACAATAGGTGTCTTCAACTGATTCCTTGTGTCTAACCGAAATCTTCCATCTTTGGAACAATCACCCCCCCGCCGCCATTTTCTGCACCCACCAGCCTCTGATAATCACTGTTTTACTCTCTGTTTGTATCAGTCCAACTCTTTAAAATTCCACATATAAGTGCAATCAAGTAGTAGTTATCTTTCTATGACTAGCTTATTTCATTAATATAAATGTCCTCCAGGATCATCTACATTATAGCAAATGGCAGAATTTCCTTCTTTTAAAAGGCTGAATAGCATTCCACTATGCACATATATAACATTATCCATTTGTTGATGAACACTCAGGTCGATTCCATATTTTAACTATTGTGAATAATAATGCAATGGACATGGGAATGTTGATACCTCTGACATGATTATACACACACACACACACACACACATATATATATATATATATATATATATATATATATATATAAACACATTTTTATATATATATATAAATCCAGTAGTAGAATTTTTGGATTATATAGTAGTTCTATTTTTAATTTTTGAGCTATCTCTATACTGTTTGCCTTAATGGCTATACTAATTTACATTCCCACCAACAGAGTGGGAATTAACCCAATCCAACAAAGACAAAGAATAAAGAATAAGAAAATATGAACGACGCCTCCAAGAAGTCTGGGATTATGTTAAACAACCAAATGTAAGAATAATTGGTGCACCTACCTGAGGAAGAAGAGAATTCTAAAAGCCTGGAAAACATATTTGGGGAAATAATCAAGGAAAACTTCCCCAGCCTTGTGAGAGACCTAGACAGCCAAATACAAGAAGCATAAAGAACACCTGGGAAAATCATCGCAAAAAGATCTTTGCCTAGGCACATTGTCATCAGGTTATCCAAAGTTAAGACAAAGGAAAGACTCTTAAGAGCTGTGAGACCTAAGCACCAGGTAACCAATAAAAGAAAACCTGCCAGATTAATAGCAGATATCTCAGCAGAAACCCTATAAACTAGAAAGGACCTATCTTCAGCCTCCTCAAACAAAACAATTATCAGCCAAGAATTCTGAATCCAGTGAAACTAAGTATCATATATGAAGGAAAGATACAGTCATTTTCAGACAAACAAATGCTGAGATAATTTGCCATTACCAAACCACCACTACAGGAAATGCTAAAAGGAGCTCTAAATCTTAAAACAAATCATGAAAAAAAATCATCAAAACAGAATCTCCTTAAAACATAAATCACATAGGACCTAGAAAACAAAAATACAAGTTAAAAAGCAAAAACAAAAAACAAAAAAGCCCAAAGTACACAAGCAACAAGAAGCATGATGAAAGCAACAGTACCTCACATTTCAATATTAACATTGAATGTAAACGGCCTGAATGCTTCACTTAAAAGATACAGAACCACAGAATGGATAAGAACTCAACAACCAAGTATCTGCTGCCTTCAAAGGATTGACTAACACATAATGACTCACATAAACTTAAAAGGGGCAGAAAAAGACATTTCATGCAAATGGACACCAAAAGTGAGCAGGGGGTAGCTATTTTTATCTCAGGCAAAACAAACCTTATAGCAACAGTGGTTAAAAGAGACAAAGAGGGATAGTATACAATGGTAAAAGGCCTTGTAAACAGGAAAATATCACAATCCTAATATGCACCTAGCAGTGGAGCAGTTTTATAAATTTATAAAACAATTACTAATAGACCTAAGAAATGAGATAGACAGCAACACAATAATAGTGGAGGACTTCAATACTACACTGACAGCACTAGACAGGTCATCAAGACAGAAAGTCAACAAAGAAACAATAAATTGACTCTATACCTTGGAACAAATGGACTTAACAGATATATACAGAACATTTCATCCAACAACCACAGAATACAACAGCACACGGAATTTTCTCCAAGATAGGCCATATGACAGGCCACAAAATGAGCTTCAACAAATTTAAGAAAATTGAAATTATATTATGCACTCTCTCAGAGCACAGCGGAATAAAACTGAAAATCAACTCCAAAAGGGACCTTCAAAACCATGAAAATACATGGAAATTAAATAACCTGCTCCTGAATAAGCATGGTGTCAAAAACAAAATCAAGATGGAAATAAAAAATTCCTTTGAATTGAATGACAATAATGACCCAACCTATCCAAACCTCTGAAATACAGTGAAGGCAGTGCTAAGAGGAAAGCTCATAGCTCTAAACTGTCAGTTCTCCATATGTAAGCCTGGAGCCTGAAAGTCTGAAGTCCTGCTTGCCTCAGCTGATCATCTCCTACCCCTCGCTGGCATTCGCCATTGTCCCTGATCGCCCAGCAGAGCTTCCCTAACAAGCCTTTCACCCAACCCTGCCACCTTAACTGTTCTTATGATAATGTGAATACCTCTCACCCAACCCTGCCACCTTAACTGTTCTTATGATAATGTGAATCCTCTCACCCAACCCTGCCATCTTAACTGTTCTTATGATAATGTGAATACCTTTGCCTCACCCCCACCCACCACTGTAACTGAACTTGTGGTCATGTATACTCCTTGTCCCTACCCCCTACCACTGTAACTGATCTTACTGTGCAACACCCCCGCCCCCAAAAACACCACCCCAACCTATAAAGCCAATTCCCACCTTACCCCATTTGCCTGTCCTTTCTTGAATTAGTCCTGCTTGCACCCAAGCCAGAAATAAAATGGCCTTGTTGCCTACACAAAGCCTGTTTGGAAGATCTCTTTATTAAACGCATTTAATATTCGGTACTATTGGACTCGAATAACATAAATGCCTAAGTCAAAAAGACTGAAAGAGCACAAACTAACATTTAAGGTCACACCTAAAAGAACTAGAGAAGCAAGAACAAACCAAACCCAAACAAACCCAGCAAAAGAAAGGAAATAACCAACCTCAGACTGGAACTAAATGAAATTGAAACAAAAAAAAAATTACAAAAGGTAAATGAAATAAAAAGCTGGTTCTTCGAAAAGATAAATACAATTTATAGACCATTGGCAAGATTAACCAAGAAAAGAAGAGAGAAAATCCAAATAACCTCACAAAGAAATGAAACAGGAGATATTACTACTGACAGCACTGAAATACAAAAGATCATTCAAGGCTCCTATGAACACCTTTACACCCATAAATTAGAAAACCTAGAAGAGATGGATAAATTCCTGGAAAAATATCACCCTCCTAGCTTAAATCAGGAAGACTTAAATACCCTGAACGGACCAATAACAAGCTGCAAGATCGAAATGGTAATTAAATATTACCAACAAAAAAAGTCTAGGACCAGAGGGATTCATAGCAGTATTTTACCAGACACTCAAAGAATAATTGGTACCAATACTTTTGACATTATTCCTCAAGACAGAGAAAGAAGGAACCTTCCCTAATTCTTTCTATGAAGCCAGTATCACCCTAATACCAAAACCAGGAAAGAATATAACCAAAAAAGAAAACTACAAGACCAATATCCTTGATCAACATAGATGCTAAAATCCTTAACAAAATACTAGCTAACTGAATCCAATAACATATCAAAAAATAACCCACCATGATCAAGTGAGTTTCATAGCAGGGATGCAGGGATAGCTTAACATACACAAGTCAATAAATGTGATACACCACATAAGCAATGTTTAATACAAAAATCACATGATTATCTGAAGTGCGTGGGTGTGAATATATTTCTATGTTTGAATTTTTTTCAACAAGCTGCCCAGTTCATTTTGATCACTGACTTGGAAGTGTATAGCAGGAGAGAGAGAGAAATGAGGTGGACATACAGCTAAGAGAAGATCAATAAGGGTTTTCCTTGTTTGTTATTTTTTTGAGCAAAATGTATAAAATTTATCCTGAAGGCTCTAAAAAGTTTAAAGGACAAAATATGATGTCACTCTCAAAGAAGAAAATCTTCAATGGCTCAAACAAGTAAAATAATATTTATTTTAGACATTATGCACATTCATTTATTCTTGGAATAATGGTTCTTTATCTTACTATTACATTTAGGATAAAGTTACTGTATGATACTGCCTTGCCCACTTTTGTAGCAGCAGCTCTTTTTTTTTTTAAATCACCTCATCAGATTTAACTACTTCCAGTAACCTGAAAGTAACCATTATTTCCTTCCTTCTACTTTCCCCCTCCCATCATTCCACAAGTATTTATTGTCTACTTACTCTCAATAATTGTGGCACTTTTAACATTTTACTTTCCAATTGTCTTTGTATATTTCCCACTCCCCACAAAGGAACTATACAATTCCTTGATGGCAGGAACAGGCCTGATTCATCAGGTCCTCAATAAGTATTTGCTAAATGAATAAATGAGCAAATGAGCAAGAATTAGACCTATTTCTTTCTCATTAAACACTGATATGTGGCCCCACCCAAATTTCATGTCAAATTGTAATCCCCAGTATTGGAGGTAGGGCCTGGTGGGAAGTGATTGAATCATGAGGGTAGATTCTCATGCATGGTTTACCACCATCCCCTTCATGCTGTTCTTGTGATAGTGAATGTTCTCAGGAAATCTGGTTGTTTAAAAGTGTAACACCTCCCCACCCCCTTGATCCTGCTTTGGCCATGTGACATGCCTGCTTCTCCTTCACCTTCTGCCATGATTATAAGTTTCCTGAGGCCTCCCCAGGAGTTGAACAGATCATGCTTCCTGTACATCCTATGGAAGTGTAAACCAATTAATCTCTTTTTTTTTTTTTAATAAATCACCCAGTCTCAGGTATTTCTTTATAAAAATGCAAGAATGGACTAATACAAAAACTAGTGTGTAGCTATAATCATCCACCACTCTATTGGAGCAGCAATTCATTAACTTTTTTCACATCTATATTCTGACATTGATGATTCAATATGTAGGAAGAAAATAATATTTATTTTAGACATTATGTATATTCATTTATTCTTGAATTATATTGTGAAGTAAACATAGTCTCTACTACATAGTAAGCATTGTATAAATGAAAGCCACCTTTATTACTATGACAGATTAACCTAAATACATTAGAATTTCATGACACTGCCTTAGGCTCCTCTTAATAACTTGTAAAACGGAACTTAAACTTATTTTTCTTTTTTCATTCTTCATCTTTGCCTCCCTCACCTATATTCCCCAAATTTCTTCTTTGGTCTGCCTATATTTGGCTTTCCAATCACCTTAATGATGTTTCTGAGACTATATAGTTTAGTCAGTGACATTTAGGGTCCCAATACTTTCTGTATAACAATGTTAATATTCATTTAAAATCTTAATGTCCATTTCAAAAAAAAATCATAATAGTAATAATAAATGTACATGTGCAAACATATCCCCTTCTTTAGTACTGGATATTTCTGTGTACTCATAGTAATTAAAAGTACAGTATCAGTATTTCTTATAATTAAACTCAAAACCCTCCTTGAAAGGCACCAAAATAATTGAAATGCTCACCACTGGTTGGGAGACGATTTACTAGCTCTCTGTGTTCCTCATATGTAAGCTCAATCCCCATATCTTCCAGGAAATTGTCCAGGTTACAGATCTCAATTTTTTCTTTGAAGACACAGAAAAGTACATAACAAGAAATTGTGATCTTTCTAACGATTTTGGAGTATGAAAACACAGTGCTTTACTATCATTAAGAACAACAAACAGTGAGAGTTGTTCATTAGAATAATGAGAATTAAAATAAAAGTCATTCCTTTCATTATGCTTCAGTGTGTGATGATAAAAGACTGAAGACACAGTAAAAATTGTTGGGCATTATATGATAACATAGACAATCAGTTCATATAAATTTTACTTGAAAGCAGTAAAATTTTACTTGAAAGGCTTAATTTGAGACTACTTCATATATTCGTTACCATTGTTGACTATATTGAACTGATAACAATAAATATTTCACATGTTGATTTTTCCATAGATATTTAGGTTGTAACTAAGTTCGCATTAGCAGTATAAAACTTTTTTTCATTTCCAGTATCTTCAAATTCTATGTTTTTAGCAAAACCAAAAAAACAAAAAAGATTTCTGCCAAAATGTAGGTGAACACATAAAAGTACACGAGTTTTTCTTCCCATGAAAAATATTATCACAAGTAACCCCAAAGGCTTGCAATAAACACACGTTTTTCTCCTTTTCTTGCCAAGACCCCTTTAAAACAATTGAAATGGATTAAAATAAGGGGAAAAGGTAATAAACTCATAATAAATTCAAAGGGACATGGTAGTGAACAAAACAGAAATTCTCTGTCTCTACTAGTTTATATACTATGTTGGAGAGACATACAACAAAGAAGTAAACAAGTAGATACAATTGATAAAACAGGGTGGAAGAAAGCACAGTCTAGACTATTCAAAGGACTAGGTAGATAGAAGTAAAGATGTGAAGGAAGCCAATTTGCCCAGAAAAAAACAAACAAACAAAAAACACCAGAAAAGCTCAATGCTCAGTTTTGGCAGATACTAAGTTTAAAATTAAAAAGGCAGGAGGAAAGTAAAATTTGAAAATAAAGAGGTTAAATGAAGGTCTGCCTATGGAACATTTGTATCAGCCAGTCTCAACCTCTCCTCTAAAATCCCTGAGTCACAGAGAAACTGGCAGTTCAGCATTTACTCCCTGATCAAAATACTGGAGAACCCTCCAGCAACAGAATGAAAACCACAGCTGTCAAGGTGGATTTTCATGACTGAGAATAAAGCACAACTACTTCTGCCATTTAGAGGGTCTCTGAGCTAACTGTTGCCTCTCCACCTGCTCTCTCTGCAGCAAAGCTTGGCACACAACACATTTCTTTCATTTCATTCATACACAGGACTTTTATTTATGCTGGAGACCTAAGAGCTCAACCAATCCACAGATAGAAAAACAAGACCAACTCATATTGGTTACCAGGTATGATCTATTCAGTCTCTCATTCTTAACTATATAAATAGATGATTAAGGAAATGAAAGATAATTTAAACCAACAAAGATCTCTAATATGCTAAAAGAGATTCTGGAAGATAGTATACTTATAATGCATGAATGTGGGACTATGTGAAATGAATAAAAAGGAAGCATCCTTAAAAGTTAAAAATTATTAGTAAGAACTTAAAGATTCTGGAAAAAAATTAAAAATAAGGCTGTGAGACTTAAAAAAAAATAGGTCTTCAGAGAGACACAAGCAAGCTGAGAAAGCCCACAGAGTTCCAAGCAAAATGAAAATGATCCACAACTGGACCCATCATTGTAAAATTTCAGATCGCCAAGATAAGGAGAAAAGTCTTGCCTCAAAGAGAAAAGAAAAACAATCAGGCAGGTGCAGGGGCTCATGTCTGTAATCCCAGCACTTTGGGAGGCTGAGGTGGGCAGGTCACCTGAGTTCAGGAGTTTGAGATGAGCCTGGCCAACATAGTGAAACCTCATCTCTACTAAAAACACAAAAATTAGCTGGGAGTGCTGGTGGGTACCTGTAATCCCAGCTACTCCGGAGGCTGAGGCAGGAGAATTGCTTGACCCCGGGAGGTGGAGGTTGCAGTGGGCCAAGATCACGCCACTGCCTGGGCAACATGAGTGAAACTCAGTTTCAAAAAAAAAAAAAGAAAGAAAGAAAGAAAAAAAATAACAATGAGACACAAAGGAACATACCTTAGGTTGTCATCAAACTTCTTATTGACTACACTGGATTCTTATAAATAATGATTCAAGTTGTTTTTTTTTTTTTAATTCTGAAGGAAAATAATTTTGAACCTAGAATTATATTCCCAGATAAACTATCATTGTGGACAATATAATAGAATAGAATCCATTATGCGGAATGAGTAAGAAGCTGTAAGATGTTACTAATGTGGCCAAGAGCTCATTGGTTCCATCATTTGACAAGAAAAAAGGAAAAAGAAACTCCAGCAGAAATTCCAGGAGAAAAAGATATAGTATACATATAAACAAAACTAAAACTAAAATGTGACATGACATTGAGGTATTAATATTGATAAAAAGGAAGAATCCAGGACATCAGGACATTCTCCTTTGGGTATTACAGATGTCATAACTCTAAAAGAAGTAACTATATTACTAGCCCACTAATAAACTCAGAAACTTTAGAAATACACATATACACATATCTGTAGATATATACATATAATTACATATACATATATACATATCTGCAGATATATACATATAATTACATGGACATATACACATATCTGTAGATATATACAAATAATTATATATGTATACATATACTTTAAAATTACACATATACTTTAAAAAAATTATTTATGTATTATATATCTGTAGATATATACATAAAATTATATACCCTAAACAATGGAAGAGTAAAACCAACAGATTTCTGGAAATTGAAGTTAAAGAGGATTAAAGGCACTAATATTCTTTGATTCCATGGTAGAGAGTCAAGAGATACTGTCAAAAGGATATGGAAGAAGAAATAGAGGCTAGTGTTTATTATTTAAAGTTACTAATTCAATGAACAGAAGAAGCGAAACTAATCTTTTATGTATAACAACTTGAGAAAGGGAAGGGATGTGGAAGCTACATCAGGAGCAAAACTATCATCATCATCAGTAGCAGGGTGTCAACAGATAACATCTGGAACTGCAGATCTTACAGCGTTGTCTGCAGACCATCGGGAATTGCTAAGATCTTTTCAGGGAACCCACAAAGTCAAAACTACTTTCATAACAGTAATTACACATTATTTGCCTTTTTCATTGTGTTGACATTTGTACTGATAATATAAAAACAAAAGTGGGTAAAATTGATGGCATCTGATCACAAACCAAGGCAGAAGCACCAAGCAATACTACTAGTCATTATATTTTTTACTGCCATGATTTTGTGCTAAAATAATAAATCAATTTTACTTAAAAATATCTTGATAATTATATGTCTTTTGAGTATTTTGTATGATGAAATACAGAGAGTACTTCTGCTACATATAGAACTAACAGAGCTTTCTTGGGGAAAAGCACGTCGTGATTAAGCTATAAGCTGAACTAGCTGCTTTCTTCATGGATAACAGTTTTACTTGAAAGAATGAAAGGCAAACTATACTTATTCAGACATGGATATATGGAAGACCTTTTGAAAATCAGTAAAGTGAACCCATCAGACTTCAAGGAAAACAATTGACAAGGTTTGTTGCCAATGATAAAATTCAAGTTTTTAAGTGAAAAGTTAAGGGGAGTGTGACTGGAGGTGGGGAAAAATGGAATAAGGAATTGTTTCATTTTATTTTTAGCCTTTCTGTACCTTTTAATTTTTAACCATTTTAGTAAATGGTAAAAATAACCTATTAATAAAATACAAGGATGAACAAAAATGGAGAAAAATGTGGAAAGGAGCATACTGCTTTTATCAATCTTGACATGGCAATTTTTGCTCACCTTTAAGCATCTTCACAACCCCTGTCAATGTATTCATATCCATATCTTCATCAGCTATAAGATAAATTCATATATATTGGCATTGATATTCAAAAAATCATTCACATTTGGTAATTTTTACCATTTCTTCTAGAATTTCTTCACCTGTTGTTTTTACTCCCTCATCTCTAAACAGAGAAAATAATACTACCTATCTCATAGGCTTTAAGTAAGCATTAAAAGAGACAGAAGAAGTACTTAGACTTATGCCTGACACACTATATATGCTAAAAAAAAAAATAGCCATTAGTATTTTTATTTTAAAAGTAATAGAAGCAGAGTCTATATCTATTCTTCTGATATAAAAAGAGTCATACTATATATCTTTTCTCATTTGAATATAACATTGATATTTATAACATCTTTTTAAAATTAAAATCTAATTTGTTAAATTTCCTATCTAATCTTTACATGTAATATATGATCTGGGGGCTTGTTACAGTGGCGTGGAGAATAGTTTTTTCACGGAAAGTAGCCAAACAAATATTCCTAAATATATGGAAAGAAGAAACTCTATTATCAATGTTTCTCCTTTTCACATTTGGTAAGGTCCATAAAAAGAAGTTAAGGGAGATATGATTTTAATTAGCAAACAATTACAAGTAACAGCAGCATGACTTGATGCTACCCTCTGGCCTCTATATATATGCAGATAATTATCTGTATGGAAAGAAAAAATAAATACCAATTGTATAGTAAAAGAATATGTAAATATAATTTACATGCACATATGTATAATCTTTGAAACTATAATTATTCTCATAAGACCAAGAGAGTAAGAATCAATGATAAGAATCTTTAGTAATACCTCAAACAGACTCTAGGTAACATTAACTGCTGCAAATAAGCCATGTAATTTCTGATTATTTGCTAGGAGGCTAAGAGGCTTTTTGAAGTTTCTTAGCCAACTGTGATTTAAAAGGTTTTGTTCTGTAAATTAAGGAAAGTTAATAATTTTTAAAACTTTTAAATTTAAATTTTTGTGGGTACATAGTAGGTGTATTTATGTATGAGTTACATGAGATGTTTAGATACAGGAATGCAATGTATAATAATCATATCATGTAAAATGGAGTATCCAGCCCCTCAAACATTTATCCTTTGTGTTACAAACAATCCAATTATAATCTAGTTATTTTTAAATGTACAATTAAATTATTGTTGACAGTAGTCACCATGTTATCCTATCAAATACAAGGTCTTCTTCATTCTTTCTAACTACTTTTTTTGTACCCATTAACCATTCCCACCTCCCCAACACCTTCTCATTACACTTTCCAGCCTCTGGTAACCATTTTTCTACCCTCTGTCCCCTTGAATTAAAAATTCAATTATTTTAATTTTTAGATCCCAAAAATAAGTGAGAAAATCCAATGTTTGTATTCCTGTGCCTTGCCTATTTCACTTAGCATAATGACCTCCAGTTCCATTCATAGTGGAATGGAAATGACAGGATTTCATTGTTTTTTTATGGCTGAACAGTACTCCATTGTGTATAAGTACCACATTTCCATTATCCATTCACCTGTTGATGAGCACTTACGTTGCTTTAAGTAAAGTTAATAAGTTTTTAATGTAAAATAATACCTACCCATAATACTTGATTATCTTTAAAGCATGTACTTGCATCACACATAGTTGGATTTAGAATGATAATCCCTGAACCAATTGGCAGTACTTTTCCAGATTGGTCATAGATTGACAATTTATGTTGAGACCACAACAAAGAGGATGCTAAATACTAAGCTAAAGACTTATATATAAGCAGTGGATATATAATAAGAGAATGTGGTTATGAGAGAAGTGTCTTTGTTTTAGGAATGCCTTTGTTTAATATTTAGCACAACCAACCTGCAAGTAATCAGTGAAAATAAACCAAAATATAAAACAGGAGTAAAGATATTTCTGTAACAATTTTTATAATTGAAATTCTGTGCATCAGGAATTGCAGGCCTCACTGGGGATGGCCTGTCTCTACTCTATGTAGGGTTGGCGGGACTTGCTCAGATGGATGTATTTGGGGTTGACTTGTTCACACATCTAGCTTTTCAACGAGGAAAAGTAGAATATTGGGGCCCCTATTCTTGTGGTCTTTCACCCTTTAAGACTTCTTAAAGGATGTCCCCTTGTGATCTTAAAATCTCCCAAGGTTTCTCTTTCTCCGTGGAATTCTTTACTGCAGCTCAGGGATCCAATAATGAAAGCAGAAGTTGATAGGGCTATTAAAATCCAGATTTGCAAGACCCAGGATGTGACTTCCACCACATTCTATTCATTAAGAAAAGTCACAATACTAACCCAGATTCAAAGGATAGGGAGATACTCTACCTCTTACAGAGTAGAATGGTAAAATAAAATTATAAAGAATTGGGAAGAATTATTATAGTCTTGAAAATAATCTATCTTATATAGATAAATAGATGGCAATAAAAAATGTGGCAAAGTATTAACAATTTTTGAATACAGATGTTGGGTAAACAGATGTTCATTATGTTATATCTGCAAATTTTCTGCAGGTTTAAAATATTTGAAAATAAAATCTGAGAGAACACTTGGCAGATTCTTCTTCATGTACCACCTCCAGGTGCTCATGACAGAAAGATTGGGGCATGGCACAGGATCAGAAAGTGCCTTCCACAGTGAAGCCAGACTGGAGGAGAGGAGTAACCACCATCATGTAAAAGACACAAGGCCTGCATGGGCCCTTCTTTCATAAGGCTCAAAAGCGGTATGCTGCTGGGAAGGGGCAACAAATTCTGTCATTCTCAAGGCACAAATCACAAAACACACTGAGGGTTGGTGAGGCAGGAAATAGTAAATTGAAAAACTTCCCTCCCCCTGAGAGAGAAGTAGGATACCATCTTGGGGCTAGGATCCTATGCCAATGCCAATTAATATCTACAACTACTGGAAAAGGAACATGAAGCTGTCTCCCACACAAGGCCCACTACAATGAAATGCAGTGTTTGGCTGCCACAGAGAGGAGGCATAGGATAAAAACAAAAATTAACGGCAGCTAAAGAAAAAGAACATATTACATAAAGAGGAAAAGTATTGTAGCACACTTCTCAACAAAAACTATGCAAGACAGAATATTATGCAGTTATATCTTTAAAATACTAGAATACAAGTAGAGTGGGGAAGTTGTCAACCCATAATTCTATACAAAGGGAAAAAACCTTTCAAAATGAAGGAAAAATTAAAATCTTTCACCCCTATGGAGAGATCCACATGGCAAGGAACAAAGGCCTCTGGCCAATAGACCCAGGGGGTACTAAAGTTGCTACTAGCAATAACTATGCAAGTGAGTAATCTTGGAGGTGAATCCTCCAACCTCAGCGAAACTTTCAGATGACTGCAACCCTAACCTACATCTTAACTGCAGCCTCATCAGAGATCCTAAGCCAGAGCCACCACTTATGCCACTCCCATATGTTTTTTTTTTTTCTCTAGACATATATAAGTGTTTTATTTTGACCACTTCTAAGGATTTTGCTTTAAAGGCTTTACATGCAGCATTCAAATATCTCTTACTGAAGACAATCTAGTCTTTCAGAGATCATGTATCATCAAAGTCTGCAGAGTTTTCACTGTCATTTGCAATAAGAGCTTCTCTGTTCTCATAAGTCCAGAAGCCATTCAAATCAATTAGAATGGTGGTAACTGTGTCTCCTTGATTACTGTTGATTAAATCCTGAAGAGAGATTTTCAAAGGATCCTTTTGTTTTACCATGTCAAAGATTTCATCCTTGACATCTTGAAATGAAACAGGATCTTGTCCATGGATTTTCATTAGTTCCTGTATGGCCCTAAAGAAATAATTAAGTGAAAAGACATTCAGATATCCTTTGTTCTCAATATCAAGCAATTTGAAAATATACTGTAGAGCTGCAGGTTCCTTTCTATTTTCTAATGCAAGGACAAAGTCCAAGTAGGTCTTATAGTCCATTTCTCTATCATAAGTGAGACACTCCTGGAAAACACGGTCTAAGAAGACATTGGTCATGGTAGCTGTTCCATAGCGTGAGAGTTCTTCTTTACTGAGCATGCCATTGTGATCTTTATCAAGATTCAAGTACTGGCCATAAACTCTTAGGGCAGAAGGAGCAGAAAACCATTTTGTTTCTTGACTCTCCTTGGACAGGTCCTCATCCCTTAGCTCCAATAAATCATCTAGGAAGCTGCATGCTAAAATATCTTGAATTTTTATCTTTCCTGTTCTTAGAGGATCTAAAAAGAAGAAGAACTTCCTAACTGCTGTACAAACATAAAAGGAGTAGAAAGATTTTTCCAGACCATCTAATTGTGGCAATGTAGGGATAAGTTCCAATATGTAGTTTTCTAAATCAGATTCCCGAAGGTACCCCTGCCCAGCGACATTGTATAAACTGAGTCCTATTCTTGTCTGATGAAGCCAAACTTTTCTCATGACATAATTAAAGAACTGCATGATGGAAATTCTTCCATATGAATCTGTATGAAGGAGTTTAGCGAAGACTTTTGCTGTGAAAAATTGTTGCACTTTGCTCCAGACTTTTCATCAACCTTCAAAAAATTTTCGTAATTGATCATCGCTTCCTCTCCAATCATAGGTGGTGTCTGGTGTTTGTCCAGCAAAAACCATAAGTTCTGTAATTCTTCATTATCTAACAGTTCTCTGCTTTTTCTTTGTAGAAAGACAGCTCTTGATTCCTCTCTTAATTTCTGCAGTAAGACTTCATCTTTAGCAGGCAACCTATAATAAAACCGGGGAATGGTCTTATAGAATTCATTTGTGTTTTTTCTACCTCCTTTCCATTCAGAGTAATATTTTGTAAATAAATCCATTTCTTCATCTTTTAATTCTTGTTCACTTTTTTTTGTTTGTTTGGACGGGTGTTGGGCGTCGCTAAGCACTGGCGAAGAACTTCTTTCCAGTCCATGGCCGACTCCCGCGCAGCAGCTTCTGCATTTGCTGTTTCCTACCCGCTCCACCCTGCCACTCCCATATTTTTGATCCACTGAAGCTGTGTGCAAATAAGTGGTTCTCATTTTAAGCCGTTAAGTTTTGGGAGTGATTTGTTATATAACAATAAGTAATTAATACTTATTAAATAGGTAAAATAGGCCATAAAATAAACTTCAACCAATTCAAAAGAATATAAATTATATAGTGTATGATTTCTGACCAGAACAGAATTAAACCAGAAAACAATAACAGAAAAATATTGCAAGACTGCACAAACCTTTGGAAATTCAATAACACACTGAATAATCTATAGGTCAAAGTGGAAATCATAAGAATAATTAGAAAATATTTTGAATTGAATGATAACAAAAATACAATAAAACTGTAGGATACAGTTCAGTAGCACTGAAAGAAAAAGTGGGTAGTATTTATGGTTATACTAGAAAGAAAGCTATCAAGCCAGTGACCTAATCTTCCACTTGACAAGAAAAACAACATTAATCTAAAGCAAGATCAAGCAAGCAAATAAAGAACAGGAGGTGGTAAAATTGAAAACATAAAACTGAGAGAATAAATCAATGAAACTATAAGCTGGTTTTAATAAATAAATAAAATTGGTAACATGATCAAAAAATAACAGAGAATACACAAATAACCAACCAATAATCAGGAATAAAAGAGGGGAAAACAACTACAGATCCTGGAGGCAATAAACAGGTAATAAGCAAATATAATGAGCAATTTTTTATCTATAAATGTTCTATCTAAAAAAAAGAACAAATTTCTTGAAACACAAACTATCAAGGATCTCTAAAACAAAATAGGTAGGCAAAATATTCATGTATCTATTAAAGAAATTAAATGAATACTTAAAACCTTCCAATTGAGAAAATTCCAAAAGAGGAAGGCTTCAATGATCAATTCAATTGAAAGTTTAAGGAAAAAATGATACTAATTCTATACAAGCTCTTCCAGAAAACAGGAGAGGGAGGGACACTTTCCAATTCTTCCTATGAGAGCAGCGTTACTCTGACACTATAATCACATGAAGATAGTATAAGAAAAAAAGGTACGATCTGGCCAAATTCAATGGCTCATGCCTGTAGTCCCAGCTACCCACGAGACTGAGGCAGAAGGATCACTATAGTTCAGGAAGTTGAGGCTGCAGTGAGCCATGATCATGCCACTGCACTCCAGCCTGGGCAACAGAGTAAGACAATTGTCTCAAAAACAGAAAACAAACAAGCAAAACAAAATAAAAACCCTCCAATCTAAACTTCTTCATGAACTTAGGTGTAAATATCCTCAAAAATATTTGCAAATTGAATCAAGCAATATATTTAAGAGATAATATATTATGACCAAATGAGAGTTATCCTATGAGTACAAAATTGGTTTAACATTAGAAAGTCAATCAATGTAATTTACTATATTAACTAAATAAGGAAAAAAAGCTGAACACTTCAATGGATGCAGATAAAGCATTTAACAGAATTGATTATCCATAAATGATAACTCTCGGGAAACTAGGAATTAAATGAAATTCCTTCAACCTTCAATGAAGGGCGTTGAAAAACACATAACATCATACTGAATGGTGAAAAACTGATTTCTTTCCCCCTAAAATGGGAACAAGGGAAGGATATCTGGTCTCATCACTCCTATTCAACTTTGTGCTGGAGGTCCTAGCCAGTACAATAAGGCAAGGAAAACAAAGGGCATGTGAATGTGGATTAGAAAAATAAAGCCTTTAATCCTAGCACTTTGGGAGGCTGAGGTGGTGGATCGTGAGGTCAGGAGTTCAAGACAAGCCTGTCCAAGATGGTGAAACCCTGTCTCTACTAAAAATACAAAAATTAGCTGGGCGTAGTGCCTGGTGCCTGTAATCTCAGCTACTCGGGAGGCTGAGGCAGAGAATTGCTTTAACCCACAGTAAGCCGAGATAGTGCCACTGCATTCTAGTCTGGGTGACAGAGCAAGACTCTTGTCTCAAAA